ATCCTAAAAAAAAATTGGTGTACAGCTGCCAATACACTACTAAAAGGCTAAATGTGGCTGAAGGGCTGTGAATCTTGCATCTTCTTCAACATTGTAGGATTGTGGATGTGTAACAACAGTAATGCATCAATAGTTATGCGCTATCTGTTCTTAGTTTGGACTAGCTGAATTCTACATGAAGGAAAATTTGAAATGATGTCCTATTCTGGATTCAACCAAAACAGGTGAGGGCTTTTCAGCTTCAGAATACATTGAGAACCCCTGGGGGTGGTAATAACTAAATGTCTGTAAGGAAATAGAGAAGAACTAAAATTGCTCTGTTTCTAGTGATATTCTTGAGTTTTTAAGCTTAAATCTGGGGGGCGGGTGTTAATTCTAGCTTTTCTTGAACATTTGACCTTTATGTGTAGTTATATGAGGAGATGGACTGGCTCAGCGTTTTGGATAAAGCACAACCTGTCATTCAATTACACTCTGCTGGGCAGGCCATCCTGGCAGAACATATTTATTCTAGCCCGGCCAGTAAGAGCTATCTTTAAAAACAATTTAAAAATAAATGTACCCTTCTAAATCTTTGTGGTCTACACTGGGGGTTCCCAACCCCTGGTTCGTGGATTGGCATCTGCCCGCGGTACACCAGAAATTGGGCCATGCAAGCAAGCGGAGGCCCATCCATGGGATGTGGGCACATGAAACCACACCCCCTCTGGTCCGTGAAAAAACCTCTTTCCATGGAACCAGTCCCTGGTGCCCAAAAGGTTGGGGGCCACTGGTCTACACCTAAACCTAACTATACAAATAACCAGGAACAACAATTTCCTTTCATTCCAAAATTGTAAATATTATCTTTAAATGTATCTTTTTATTTTGACACACGTTATTGTTTTTGGTCGAAGAAGTGTTAGTAAAATGAAGAAAAACCTGCTGTACATACTCTTGGCTCAGCAAAACAACTCTTCTTTCTACACTTCATATACTAGAGAAAGCCTGGAACAGCCAGGTCAAGCCAGGAAATTAAAAATCTGGCAGGATGACATAGATGATTGACATCCTTACCTTGTATTTATCTGAATTGCTTTAAATCTTGTGCAATACGTAAGTGGAGACAACAAGCAGGTAGGGGGAAAAGGTAGAAGATGCACAATCCTGCCCATTTCAAGCATTTACATCACCTTTTGTCTTGTATGCAGGAGGAGGAGGAGGAGGAGGAGGGGGAGGAGGAGGAGGAGATCAGTGAATTGAAGAGGCTAGGAGAAGAATATGTCCACCTGTTTTTCAATACTGGATAGCAAAAGGACTCTTGAGAAAGCTTTCAGGCCCAAATCCACAGATAATAAACTACAGAAACACTTTCCATAGACGTACAGAAATGCCATGACTTGAGTCATTAAAGATGAACTGGCCTAACTGCATATTACAATGACTGAAAAGTAAATTTGATATAAAAAAGTGGAAGAATGCTGCAGCAGGGAAAGTTGTAATTACCATGTCTGCTTCACATATACCTTGACAGTCTACATGGATTAAAATAGTGATTTTTGAATTATATTTAAAGGTTGTTCTGATAAAGGTTTTTAAGCTTTCAAATTTAATTAACATTAACCCTTGCTATTAGAAATGTAACTGAATCAATGTCTTGATAAACTGCTATAAAATAACATCTTAACACTTAATAGGAGTATGTTAATTTAGACCCTTTAATGTAGATTATTACTTGCACAAAATCATACTGCTGTCATTGGGAATTATGTGTAGATTTAATTGCACTTATATCCCAAATATAAACACACTTAAATGCTATTACTTCCCTTAGAAGCATTACTTTTTATGAGATTTAAATGAAATCCCTAGGCTGACTTCACAAATGGTATTTAGATCAGTCACTGCTCTTCTTCTCTTGATAAATCAAAGAGAAAAGCAACATCAATTGCAATGGAATTGTTTTCAAATGATTCTCCTCTATACATTTCCTCTAGACATATTTTAAGTAACTTGTCTCAGACTAGAAATCACAGTCCTACAAAACATTAGGTCTATGTGCAACAAAACTCAAAATTAAATAAATAACTTATTTTGGAATGAACATATGAACTGATCTTAATAAACTATCATTTGCTACTTTATTTCAATTTTTACTATTCAACTTTACTGGTAGATCAGGCATACAAAAATGGTTGAAAGCTACCGAAAACTAAATAGAAAACTATTATATAAATATATAGGAAATGTACAGTATAACCCTGAGTTTATGTAACAGATGTCACACCCTGGTTACGAATAGGCATTTGAAGAGAAAAAGATATAACTTTTAAAACAGAAGTGACTGTATGCAATATATTTGTATATTTATGAGTGAGCCATGGTGGCGCAGTGATTAGAGTGCAGTACTGCAGACTATTTCTGCTGCCTGCCGGCTGCCTGCAATCTCAGTTCAAATCTCATCAGGCTCAAGATTGACTCAGCCTTCCATCCTTCCGAGGTGGGTAAAATGAGGACCCAAATTGTTGGGGGCAATATGTTGACTCTGTAAACTGCTTAGAGAGGGCTGAAAAAGCACTGTAAAGTGGTATATAAATTTAAGTGCTATTGCTATATATTTGAAATGCATTGTCCATCTTCTCCTAATTTCTTGCCTTTCTGCCATTCCCAAGTGACAATTATAGCGCGTGCGTGCACACACGCACACAAACAAAATATTATTTTCTGTATACATGCTATATTCTTTTCTCTTTTCTACCAGGAAACACCCTCACGCCCATAGCTCTAACTCTCTCCAATAATACATTCAAGTAGTTAGTGCCAACAAGATTATAGTAAACATGAAACCAATGACAAATACAAGAAATAAATCATCACGTTTGGAAGGGTAACCTAATATTTCCAGAAGTACAAATTATAAGGCAAACACTCCTCCAAAACAAAAAAATAGGCAGCCTCTTTTCTCCCAGCCTTGCCAAACAAGGTATCAAATATCAGCCTCTCATCACATGATAAAGTCTTGAGGGAAATACCTGGAGGACAAAGGATGGAAAGGAAACAACCAGTTGGAAAAAACATTCTACGCTATATTGCAACCTTTGTGATAGCTCCAACTTTTCTCTAATCAAAAGTACACAATCCCAAACCCCAGAACCACACACAGCCCTACAACAATTCTGTCTGCAACCGAATGCCTCCAAAAATTGTTACCAAATTGTGATTTTTTTAAGATGAGAGAAGAAAAGAATGTATGTGATTATATCCAATGTACACTCACTTCATTTTACTATAGCTTAAAGCAGGGATCTCGAACCTTGGCAACTTTAAGCCTGGAGGACTTCAACTGCCAGAATTCCCCAGCCAGCTTTGCAGCAAATGCAGCAAAAATGGCCTGCTCAAAGAAATTGGAGACAACATTTAAGTAGAAGCTTTTGAATGGTTATATTAAAATAATCTTTACGGTCTTACGGAATTCATGTTTGGGTTATATTTGAAGGCGTTCCTTCACATATGGTAACTAGATTTTCAGAGTTTCCAATGCCAGAGGAAAAATGAAGATGCACTCTGCTGAGAAGCATATTTGGACAAAATCAATGATCTTCCCCATCCCCATCAGGCAACAGGCTGATAAGAAAAAAGATTCCATCCAGTGGACAATTATTCTTAAATCTAATTATCATACTACTGGTAAATAGGGGGGGTTTTTTTGGGAGGGGAGAGCGCGGGGCGGGGGGGGGGATAGAGGAATAGCATATAACCAAATTGCTGTAGAATGAAAAGGAAGTGGACTGCATTATATTCCTCAAAAAGAGCCAAATTTCTAAAGCAATTTTGCCATCTTATTTGAAAAAGGAACAACAAAAACGAAGAGAGAACTTTACTTGGATTATTTGTCTGGGGAAAAAAATGACACTAATTAGGCCTTGATATTCTTGTCACTTGGTAAAAAAAATTAAGTAGAACTTTTTCTGAGTTTTTCAAATTCAGACACCCCCCCCCCCAAGCTTTTAATGACTTTCTCATTTATGAGGAAAGTCAGGGACAGTCAACCTTGCATCCTCCAGATGTTGTTGGCCTGATTCCCATTAGTCCTAACCAACAAAACCCAAAGTAAAAGACAGTGGGTGTAACCCAAAATATGTGAAAAGAACATGCTAACCTATCCTGTGTTAATCACAAGATTAATGTACTAAACATGGCTCCCTTATCTAAAGGATGATAGATTAAATTTACTTATTTCACTTAATCACAATAGTGAAGAGGCTCTGCAAGTTAGGTGAAGCAGCACTATGAAAAGTCTACACACCCGCTAAAATGCCAGGTTTACGCACTTATGCAATCACGTCATTGATAGCTTTTTGTTATTCCCCCCCAAAAGATTTGTTTGCTTTTCAATTGAATTGTACAGCTTACATGTTATATTAAAGGTCAAAAAAAAAAAACTCAAGTGATTTATCTTGGTCTGACTTTTTTACATGTCAAAAACCTGGCATTTTAATGGGAGTGTATAGATTTTTTATATCCACCGCAGAAGTCAGATATTTGTCATTCCTAGTGATATGCCCAAAGACACCTAGCTTGCTGCTATTAGAAACAAATGCTGAATTCAGTCCAGAGGTGAGAAAGTTAGTTGGCTCAAATGCTTTTGGACGTATCTCTCAACAGCCCTGCCATGGCTTGTGGGGGCTGCTGCTGATGGAAGCTGATGTCTCAACAATTAATGAGACTGTGTTTTCACATCTTTAAGAGTTTCAATCAGATAGAACTCATGGGACTACAGTGAAGTGGGTTTAAGTGAGAAATTTCCTATGCTTCCTTTCCCAATGCATTTGGCTTCATTTCAGCTTCTAAGTGCAAGAGGCATGAACATTGAGGAGCTTTGAGGAGCTTGGCTTACAATCTTCCAAAAGCGGCACAATTATATTGAAAAGTGTATGTAAAAAAATGGGAGAAAATTTTGTGCTGCCAACTGATTTATCTGGCACATGGCTTCAGTGAAATAAGGGAGAAAAATAGTCCAATAGTGGTAGCATATCTTATTGATTTAATAACAGGAGTATTCTATCACACAAAGAGTTCTCTACTCTTTCTTATTTTCTATGCCAGTGAAAATGTGCATAATGATTCACAACTTTTTAAAATGGTTTATCTTTGAATCACCAAATGATGTAAGTCATTTGTATTACCCATCTAGAGATCAAAAAATTGTGTCTCAGTAGAATCTACTAAAAGCCATCATATGTTCATAGCTGTGCTTAAATTCTGAGTATGTTCTTTAGGTCCAAAGCCAACATCCTGACCACAGTCACAATCCGAAATAAAACCTAGTATCTTATGTCCAAATAAGCCTGTTGCATACTTAAGCAGCAGAACAGAAATCAAGCTACAGAATGGAATGCCAATGAACCGTACAATTTCATCACAACGGGCAGCATTCATCCTTCCAAACTATATATAAATCCACCTACAAATATATTGCTCCAGCTAAAAATCTTTTTATTAAAAAAAATAAACACGCCACAATATTTCTTATACCATCCACTTTCCTGATTTTCCCAACTGCCTTTGAAAAAATGAGCGAATAAGGACGAATGTTCATCTTATGAGAGAACAGAACATCTGAGGATTTCTGAACAAATTATATTAAGTCTTCTTCTGTTTTTATTTTCTTTGCCACTGGTTGACAGTCTTCAGCAGGCAAATCTTGTGCTTTCTGATTAGAAGTGCGATTTCCTGTTAAAGTGTTCACAGTATTGTATAATTCTGCTGGGAGTGAGGGGACCGACAAAACAATTCTGGGAGGAGACACCATCAAAGACTGCTCCTGTGATATCAAGGGCACTGAAATTGTTGGTGCTCTTGCAGCAAACAATTGTGCCAGATTCTCTAAGGCAACTGTCTGTCTGTCCATGGCATCTGCTATCCTCCTGGTAGACGTTTCCATGAGGGCAATCAGTTTGTCCACATTTTGAGCAGCCTGATTTACATGATTGGCAAGTATGGTAAATTCCTCTTTATGGGAGTCACATGCTCTACTCTGTGCAAGTTCAGAGGTTTCGCTGTGTTTTGAGTGCAAATCAGATAGAGCATTTACCAGTCTGTCACCCACTTGGGAAATGGCATCTACTATGTCTGAAGTAGTTTCAGTTTGTCTCCTCTGTTTCCTATTCCAGTGGTTGTTGCTTATTCTGTCAGCATCAACCAGGGATGCCCTGGAAAAAGTGCCGGATGGGCCTACATTGAAAGAAAGGAATAGAAGTTATCAAGTGATCAAAATACAGCTCACATTTAGAATTCATTAACATTTAATCTTGGGGCAAGTCAAATTAGGAAAAGGTGCAAACACTTCAATAAGTGCACTTAGGTCAGTGAATTGTATGCAACATTATAGTATTTCCCTATCCACTTTAAAGAAATTAAGCGCAGCTTCCCCTAATTTTCTGAAATTGGTGCTAACTCCTAATGTTCACCTGAACTGACAGAATGACCATCTCCTCTTGTATTAGGGAAACTAGGTGAAGCCACATCTCTCGCAAGAAGGCCATCTTCTCCATGCGGTTCCCATTCATCACCTGGAGACTGGACATGTACAGGTTCAGAATCCATCCGTGCATCTTGAAAATAGCCATTGGAGTCATCTGTAGGTTCTGGGATGGATGCTTCATCATCATCAGAAACCAAGACAACACTTAGCTTTTCATTTTTTTCTTGCTCCAAGCCCAATTTTTGGACTTCACGATTCCTCCTATCTATAGATAGAGAAACTTTGGACACCACAAGACCCTTGTGCATGCACAGGAAACTGTTCAAGGAATCATAAAATGGCAAGGCACGTTGACCACTCACAGAAGAGTTGTTTCCACAAACAATTGCCTTGTATCCTCGCCGAAGCTCCTTGGCACGCAAGCGACACTGCTTCATATCCCGGTCATAGCCATATCCTCGCATCTTATCAGAGATCCACTCATACTGTGCCTCATTGCGAAAGTTGGTGGCCAGTGAGGCTTGGACTTGGTCATCACCCCAGATCTCAATGAAGGTCCGTATTTCTTCATCAGGCCAATATGGATTACGATGACGAATACTCTTCCTAGGAGCAAATGACTGGATGCTCATTTTCTCCCCTGGCAGTTGTTGTTGATCATGAAACGACTCAATCCCAGCAGATGATGGACTTTTCGTTGATGTTAAGTATTTTGCCCGGAGGTGGTTCAGTTCTTGCAAGTTATTCTGCAGACTTTTTAAAAAATCATAGTCACCAGCCATTCTCTTCTTTATGCCCTTGCTGTCAAAAGGAAAGCCAAACATTAATATTCTACAAATACAGCAAATTTTACCAATTAATCTGGGGTTCCTTGTTTGGTAGGCCTGATTGTATAGACATACCACTTTTATCTGTTTAATATGCTGCTTTCAAAGCAATGAACACTCAGAAATTTGTTTTAAAGTATACGCATCGCATTTAATAGAAGAATCGTTTTGGGCTCTATGGAACTAGCTTCTATAGTCTATTCATTACTTGAATCCAAAGAGAATTACACACATTAAAAATCTACAATTCAACAGTTTGGAGTAACTATGAATTAGCCTGAAGCTCTTTCCTGAACTGAAAGAGAAATATAGTAATGCAATTTGACTTTATTTATATGAGAATTGTATTCACCTAGTATTTATCCTTGGTATTGTATATAATTCAAAAGTTATTCTTAAATCAAGTAAGTTGATTATTATTCTTCCAAGTCAATGTGTTTAGAAACTGTCATTGCAATCACTGCAATTTTATCTTCATGTAGATATGTTTAGATGTCCAGTTATTAGATTCAGCAAAAAACACCACCACATGATGATATCATTGTCTTCACCCAGCCTTGCCTGCGGGCATCCGGATTTTAAAAGAATTAATGTAGATAATTACCAAGATAATAAACTCTGAAAAGCAACTGCCTCAAAACACTACAACTAATTAAATGCCTACATTTGAGGCTTGATATAATATAGTCAAACCACAAGTAATTCTACATTTTTAAAATTTGAGTTGGGGACTCAAATTTTCCATTCATACATTAAAAAAAGAATTAGGCCTGTTGTATCAAAAATATTTTGCTCTCCGTCTCTGGCATGATGGTATGTATGTATGAATATGAGACATGATAGACAAATAGATAGATAGATAGATAGAGACATGCATACACATAAAAAAACAGGCTTTTGTTCAACTTTCTATAAACTGGTGCTCCCCAGTTATGCATACTCCCATTACCTAGTCAAAGGGACTATGTTGATTGGAGGAATTTGGAGCTGACACAAGCTTTAGCAAGCTAGTCTATAGTTATTCGAGTTCCCTTAGTAACCCCTGGTTACTTCCACTTCGGTTCCCACCAATCTAGAAGGGAATTTCCTTAAGTAGAAGTTGGGAGGTTTGCAAATCGTGCATGGGGAAAATCCGAAAAGCAAAGGGATCAGGAACCCAAATCTCTTCCTTTCAAAGCCCTGCTTCTGAACGAGATGCAGAGGATGGCAGGCACTCTTGATAAAACCACCCAGCCCAGACCTTTAGCTGCCCAGGCTGGGTCGGTGATGCAAGCCTCCTCTTCTTCTGTCCCACGGGGCAGTGAAATCTGGGGTTCCTGCGCGTGTTTTGAAAATATATTTTAGAAATATCAACTCTGGGGTACATCCGCCCTCTTCCCAATCCCCTCCATTCCCGGCAAGTCCCCCTACTGATTCTCTCCCGCACTTTCGGAGCCAATCCTGGCTGCATTCCTGGGCTATGCAAGCCACGGCGCGTTCCCACGACCCTCCCGATCCTCCACCCAGGTTCTCCCTAAAAAAAGCTACTGCGCTCCCCCGTCCTTACAGTCGCACACTTACTTGCAAGTTCCCGGCTCGCTCGTTGGCAAGCAAGCCTGCTGCGATTGGACCCGCGGCAGGACAAGCACGTCATCAACCCAATCGGAGCCTCCTTCAAAAAGGCTGGACAAAAGCAGAGGAAGAAGGCGGGGCGCCAACTCTCCATCAGGAAGGTGGGGAAGAGGCAAAAAGTCAAGCTGCTGATTGACAGGCGCGCTTTCGAATCAAAGGACGGAGAATGAGGAAGGGCGGGGAAGAAATGCAAAAAAAAAAAAAAGTGGGGGGGGGACTTATAAAAGATAAAACTGCGAAAGAAAAAAAGGAGGTCGGGCTCAGGTGGCTGAAGAGTAAATCCTCTCCCGCTGCAAGAGGAGGGTTTTTAAGGCTTGCAATGGTTATGCAATAAAAAAGGAAAATAAAGCGCAACAGAAGGCGGAGGTTCAAACAGACAACAGAAAGCTTCCCTCCTCTCTCTCTCTCTCTCTTTTACCTTGCAAAGTGAGGCATTTCTGGTGGAGAAGCAGAGATTCCCGCGGAAACGGAGCTGAACTTTTAAAGGTCTTCAAGCGGGCAGCGCTCGCAGTCCAATCCACCTTGGCCCATGTGACCGCCAGACCTCCGGTCACTTGAGGGGAGTGGCCAAGCGAGAGGGTCCGCGCGCAGCTGTCCCCGGGATGCTGAGCCCTGGGCCGGTCTGAGGTGCTTGTTCCACGCTCCTGTCACTCCACCGGCATGAGGTTGCCCCCTTTTTTTCCTTCTTGTCTGGGACAAAATGCCGAACTTAGGACTTGGATATCAATTAATTCCTGGTTTGCTTAAGCAGGGTTTATTCAAGCCACAGTGCCCACGTTTATATGATTTCTTTGGTCGTTCTATACAATTCAATCTGTAATCAAATACAATCCAATAGTAATAATATTGCTTATAATGTTAAGCTTACATCTATCTATCTATCTATCTATCTATCTATCTATCTATCCATCCATCCATCCATCCATCCATCCATCCATCCTGTTTCCTCAAAAATAAGACATCCCCTGATAATAAGCATGCGCTAAAATAAGCCCCTGAAAATAAGCCCTCCCTGAAAATATTTAAACACAGAGCTGGAAATCAGGTAAGGCGGCAAGAGAAGCCCCATCTTGCTCCATGCACCCCAAAACAATAAGACCTCCCTGAAAATAAGACCAAGCACTTATTTCGGGGTTCAAAAAAATATAAGACAGGGTCTTATTTTTGGGGAAACACAGTGTCTGTCTGTGTCTGTCTGTCATTTATCTCTTATCATCCATCCATCCATCTATCATCTACCTACCTACCTACCTACCTACCTATCCATCCATCCATCCATCCATCTCTATCTCTATCTCTATCTCTATCTCTATCTCTATCTCTATCTCTATCTCTATCTCTATCTCTATCTCTATCTCTATCTCTATCTCTCTACATCTACATTTAACTCTATTTTATTAATCATTCTTAATTATAACTTTACTAACTTTTTCTGTTTTCTAGCCATTTATATGATTTCTTGAGTGGGTTCTTTACACAGAAAAGTCTCTCTCTCTCCCCCCTTTTTCTCTCTGTGTAGATGTTTCCTAATCTCAACAATTTTTAAGATATGTGAACTTCAACTCAGAATTCCCCAGCCAGAGGTTGGGAAACACTGATCCAGTTACACTAAAAGGAATTAATAGATTTGGGCTTGGAGCAAGAGAGAGAAAAAAATATAAGGTTTCTTTGGGTATATTGGATTTCTGTACTGTGTTAAACCAAAGTTGATTTTTGTGTGATCTCAACCTCTTATGTGTGGTTTATGTGAACACAACCATATTCTTTAGAAGGGGTACTTTTTCCTTTTCCCTTCTTAGTTTAATACAAACGTGCACTCAAAAAATTAAAAATGACCTAGAGTACTACTTAATGAAAGAAAAAGGAAAGGACCAGGTAAATGCAGATTGACTGTAGCGTAAGTGCTATTCTAGATTTTTAATTTTAAATATCTTTAGCTCCATCTTCTCAGTTGCTAGAAACTGGGATTCTGTGAATTCTAGTCCTGCCTAAGACTCAAAGACAACTGGTGACATAAGGCTAATCACTTTCTCTCAGCCCTAAGGAGGAAGCAATGGTAAACTACTTCTGAAATCTTGCCAGGGACTTTTCAGGCAAGGCTAAATGGAAGGGGAAATCAATGATACACTGTATCATTGTATTTCTATACAATGATACAGTGGTAATATTACCATTCATTGACCCTCAGTCCTTGAGTTGGCAAGAGAATTATGCAAGCATAAATTGCTCTGCTCTGGATTCATTTTAGTGCCATACTACTGTAGTTCTGCCCTTAGCATCTTTAATGGAGAATAAGTGAAGGATAGTATATGATATATCCTCCTACAAGGTGGATTCCCTTCTACAAGGTGAAAGGGAAAAACAACCACTGATTGTTGTTTTTAATTGGTCTTTAATTGGTTAGACAAATGTTACAACTGGCTAAAAGTTCGGATGATGATTAGCATTTTTAGCAATAAAGTATTTTTAATTAAGGAATATACATTTTCTAAGACATAATGCTATTGCATATTTAATAGAGTACAGTATAGCATAAACATAACCTTTATATATTCTAGGAAACCAAAAATTTGTGTGATTCACTTTATTTCAATATTTATTGCAGTAATCTGGAACTGAATCTGCAATATCTCTGAGGTATGCTTATATTTCAATGTACTTAGCAAGGAAACTTGATAATTGCATCTTGAGATGTTGACAGGTTATGATAGGTATGGTTTTCTGACATTTGTTGTATTGTTAGGTCTCCATTCTGATCCATGATAACCTGGACCGTGGCCTTTTCTTTTGCCTGTTATCAGAGGCCCCTGTAGAAAGGTTTTGTTTGATGACTGGAAACTTTGGGTGTCTTGGAAATATTTCTTCAAGCTTTTACACCCGTAAACTATTTTGTTCTGCTAATGCTTAGGTTACATGGGGTCCGTAAGTAATGAAGGAAGCATCTATTGCAAAGCAAAGTAAAGATGTATTAAATATGCTGTGCAAACAGTAGTAAGAGATAAAATATATTCTAAAATATAGTCTTAACATTTAAGCCTTTTGTAGGCACTTGTCCATTGCACCATAAATGTTCACAAAATTCAGAGATATTATGTGATGTAAATATCCTTGTTGAATTTATCATTTCCTTTTTAAATGTAATTAGCAATAGTATGTTGAATGTGGACGCCAAAATGCATTATTAATCCTTGACTGTTTCCTATGACATCGGTAGTAATGGGTGGCACAAGACTTAAATTGCTTGTGAATGTCTGGAAGTTTAATTTTATTTGTATTAATGTTATTGTAGTAATAATAATTTTATTGTTATTGTACATGTATACACAGTATACCCATACAACGAAATTCACTTAACACCCAAAGACCACATATAACACATATAACAACACATATAACAATCCCCAAACACCCTCCCACCCACCACAAATTCCCCACTCCTAAAGCACCCAAACATCCACATAACAGACCAAGTAATGCTGTCCAACAGCTCACTGATTGTGGCCCTTTAGTTCATTGTTGAGTGCAATTATAGCTCTGGGATAAAAACTATTCAGAAAACGTGTGGTCTGAGTTTTAATTGTTCTGTATCTTCTGCCAGAAGGTAACAGTCCAAAAAGATTGTAGCAATGTAGTGGTGCAGTGTTTAGAATGCAGTATTGCAGGCTAATTCTGCTGACTACCAGAGTTTGATTCTCACCAGGCTCAAGGTTGATTCAGCCTTTCATCCTTCCAAGATGGGTAAAATGTGGACCCAGATTGTTGGGGGCAATATGCGGATGCTGTAAACCACTGAAAGAAGGCTGTAAAGTACTGTGAAGTGATTTATAAGTGGTATGTAAGTCTAATGTTTATTGTTACTGCTATTATTCAGTGTTGCTGTTATTAGGCCATTAAATCCATGTGTGTAAATAGTGCAAGCTGGAACTATGTGTAACTTGGGCTCAAGATATGTGCAAATTTTCCCATTTTAAAGATTATCTGCTGCAAATTTTTATCTCCAGCAGGAAGGGATGAAAATCTGTGAGATATTTGGGGGAGAAAGGGAGAAACAGATAAATGAATACCTTTCAATTTCGGCTTAAAGTGTAATAGTTTGCATAGTTCAGAATATATTCATATTTGGAGAAGCAAAACTTAATTGATTAAAAAAGAAAAATAGATTAAAAATATTTCCTATTTATTAGGCAGAATGTTTTTAAAAATTAATGTTTTGTGGCCATACAGGGAAATATGAGCCTCTCCCAACACATCACAGAAAAACAATATTTTGCAAATTTTAAAATTGGAGGAAGACACATCAGTAACCTGAACTCCGTTGATGCCGTAGTTGCTCTATCAGATGATTGATAGCTGAAAATGCAAATGATCTGCAAGGTCTAGTAATGAAAGTCAAGGAGTATAATGAAAAAAATAGAAGATTAAATATAAAGAGCTAATGATAACAGGTATAGCAACCAGCTTTAGAATTGAGAATACTGAAGTGGTAGAATTTTTTGCCTTTTAGGGTTGAGTATCAAAACAAAAGAAATCAGCAGTCAAGAAATATGCTGCAGGTTAGACTTTGTAGAATAGCAATAAAAGCCTTGGAGAAGATTCTCAGAAGCTGCTATGCATCTAGACCTACAAAGGACAGAATAGTGCAAGCAGTGGTTTCCCTTTTGACACTCTGTGGATGTGAAAATTGGACTTTGAAGAAGCAGAATAGAGTATTGATACTGTTGAACTTTGGTGTTGGAACTTTGGTCCTGAGAACACCAGGAGAGCTAAGAACAAACAAATGTATCATCAAATACTTCAACTCAAAGTTCTGAGTTGGTGACCAGGCTCAAATTACCATACTATGGAATTCTATGTGAAGACTTAGCTGTCTGGAGAAGTCTGTACCAATGGGAAATTTGGAAGGAAAGTGCAATAGAG